AAGTATAATCTGATTTAGAATGAGGTTGCTGTAATCCCAGACCAATCTTTTTCCTGCTGTAGCTCTCCTGGAGCCTGCTATTAGTATTGTGATTAGACTTGAGATATGAAGAGTATTTTAGCTATTTTACTAGAATCATTTTCCCCTTTTAGAAATCCTTTATAAAAATGGTGATTTTCTGTATTTCATAAACTATCTAGTTTCTACCTTGACCCATCTAACTACTGCTTATTAGTCACTTTATACTAAAAAGGTTTTGGTATATGCCAAAGCCCTCTTTAGTTTTTGTAAACTACCCGACAAAGCAGAATAAAGAGACGACTGATATGTCAAGGAAGATAAGAAAATATTTTTATAGGTGTGAGAGCAGATGTTTAGGTGTAGGCAGTGTGTCCTGGTGGTCAAGCACACAGCTCCGGAGCTTAGACATGACGGGGTAGGACCCAGCTCCACTAGTGTCTGCTGCGTGTCCAGAGCAACCCCTACTCCTCCCTGGCCCTCAGTTTACTCATCTATAAAACAGGTGTAAGATAGTGCATACCTTATAATGTTGCCAAAATGGAAAGAGTTGAGTCATAGAGTGCTGAGAACAGAGGTTGTTACATGTTAGATGCCATGTAATTATTAAAACATTTTGAAAGCAGTTCATTCAAATTACAGAAACTATAAGGAAACCACAAGTATTTAAAAATATATGCAGGGTTCTCATGTCAAAGCAGCAGATATATTCTCGGGAACTCTAAGAATAGTAAATAGAGGTTACAGCAGACAGGCCTTGTTCCAATTTCACTTGTGGAGGAAATAAGGCCATCGTTTGATGGTATTCAAGCAGATCTGGATATGAATTTTTTATAAGCACTATAAGCATTCCCTCTTTACAGTAAATTTTTTCAATTAATCACCTTGCTGTTGAGAGGGACAGTCTACAGGGGGCCCTGAGCATCCTGCACATGGCTGCTTAGTTTGTCAGATAAGGCATTTGTAGTTAGTTATACAGGCAACTAAGTAGCTCAAGGAAACAGCAGCATTCACTTCCACAAGGAGGGGGACCGCTTTATTTGCTGCTTAATACAGTGTTTGCTGCTTGCACAAGAAGTGCATTATCCTTGGCTGGCCTTCTCTCCCATAACACAACCCTTTCTGTGTAGGCATCTATTAAGGTCCTACTGTGTTGACCCTCTTCCTATCTCCCTCCCACCCTGCATGGGACCAGGAGAGCAAGGGGGACTGCTACAAACACGGAGCTCTGGACTCTGTGTTTGCCATGAGTCGTGAGGTCTTTTCTCTGTGATCCAGGGATCTCTTATCTTCTGCAGCTAACCATGAAATAGTAACAAGCTAACCCGTTAGCTTGTAAGTAGAGTAAAATTCCAGAAACTTCAGAGTTCCAGAACACGCAAATAACAACAGGTAATTGTATTGCTTGCTTATGACCACAGTCATGGCTCTAACCCCGTATGTGCAATATGTTAGTAATCCCTCAGTAGAGTCCTTTCACAGGTTAGTGTCCCAGAATGGCTAGACACCATGCCCATGAGGGTAGAACCAGGCATCAAACTTTCTACTTTTCAGTCTTGAAAATATATACCCATTACAACTACCCTATACCATTCTATCTCTTATTAATACATGTTTCCATGCTTCCTCACCTACTAGCAAATATCTACATTGACTAAAACACTATAAAACATCATCATCCAGAATTCAAAGGAAGTAAAATTGACCTCACTTTTCTGTAAACTTTTTCCTTATAAATTCCTGCTTTTCCAGCAGATCTGACCCTAATGCAGCCTGTTAAGTAGTCTGTTTTCATTCACACATTCCTAGATTCCAAAACACAGTTGGAAGACTTGGAAGACAGGGCACAGAGATGAGACTTTATGGTTACTAAAAGAAGCCCTTCAAATTATTCTCTAGCACCCCATCAAGTTTAATATGCAAAATCATTTGTATTTCTATGTACTAACAATCAACAATTGGAAATTGAAATTTAAAAATACATTGATATTAGCATAAACTATGGAATACATCACAATAAACCTAACGAATTATTTGGAAGATTTTAATTTTGAAAGCTGAGAAATTAACAAAGATCAACATGAACAAAGAAATAAATTGTTATTATGGATGACAAAATTCAACATTGTTATATTTCAATTCTCCCCAATTGATTTATCAAATGCAATGCTAATCAAAATTCTAACAGGCATTTTTGCAGAATTTGACAAATATATTCTAAAATTTACATGAAAATACCAAAAACCTTGAATAGTCAAAACAATTATAAAAAAGAAAATAAAGCTGAATGATTCACATTGCCTGATTTCTAGGCTTACTGAGAAGGTAAATTAATCAAGACAGTATAGTATTGGTATAAGAATAGACTGTTATATAAATGGTAAACACTGAAGAGTCCCAAGATAGACACAAACATATATGGTCAATTGATTTTTAACAGAGGTGTCCAGGTAATTGAATTGGAAAATAATTTTTTGAAACTAATGCTAAAACATTTGCACAGGCATATGAGAAAATAACGACCTCAAATCATGCATAGCCCAATACAAGTATAAAAAGGTCACTCAAAATAAACCATAGACCTAAATGTAATCCATTAAGCTATAAAATTTCTAGAGCAAAACCTAGGAGAAATACTTGTTGACCTTGAATTAGAAAAATAATTCTTAGAAATAACACATGAAGAACAAACCATAAGAGAAAAAAAAAATATTTGAAGCAGGTTGTTAGGAGAATGAAAAGACAGAGGTACAGAGTGGGAGAAAATATTTGTCAAGTGTATATCTGATAAAGGGCTTGTATCCAGAATATATAAACTCAATAACCTGGAAACAAAGAACCCAGTAAAAAATGTTCAAAAGATTTGAACTCACACTACCAGAGAAGAAATACTTTGTACTGGAACCAGAAAAGACCACAAATAGTCAAAGCAATTTTGAGAAAGAACAAAGTTGGAGGCATCATACTCCCTGATTTCAAACATGTTACAAAGCTATTGTAATCAAAACAGTATGGCACAAAGAAAAAAAGACAACAGAACAGATTGGAGAAGCCAAAAGTAAACACAAGCATATACACTCAACCAATCTTTGACAAGGGTGCCAAGAATACACAATGGGGAAATGAAAGTTACTTCAATAGCGGTGCTAGAAAAACTGGTTATTCAAATGCAGAAGAGCAAAACTGGACCCTTGTCTTACAACATATAGAAAAATTAACTGGAAATGGATAAAATACTTAAATGTAGTATCTGAAACCATAACACTCCCATAAGAAGACTTAGGAAGAAGCTCATTAACTAAAGCACAGGCAACAAAAGATAAAATGAACAGTGCAAACTAAAGAACTTCTGCACAGTAAAGAAAATAATCAACAAAATGAAAAGACAGCATGCAGAATGGGAGAAAATATTTGCAAACCACACACACACACACACACACACACACATATATGTGTGTGTGTGTGTGTGTGTGTGTGTGTGTGAAGCAGAAAGTAAAACATCAGCTTCAAGGGGAGATTAGGAAAAGTTGGTCAAAGAGTCCAAACCTTCACTTACGTAATGACAAAGGAAATAATCAACAAAATGAAAAGACAGCATGCAGAATGGGAGAAAATATTTGCAAACCACACACACACACACACACACACATATGTGTGTGTGTGTGTGTGTGTGAAGCAGAAAGTAAAACAGCAGCTTCAAGGGGAGATTAGGAAAAGTTGGTCAAAGAGTCCAAACCTTCACTTACGTAATGAACAAGATTTAGAGGTCTAGTGTACAACATGGGTGGTGACAGGTGTGTTAATTAATATGATCGTGGCATTCATTACACAATGTATATGCATATCAAATTACCATGTTGTACACCTTGAATGCTTTCGATCTTTATGTGACAATTGAATATTTTAAAATAAAATAAATTCAAATTAAAACCACAGTAAGAAGTCACTAACATACTTAATAATAATTGACTCCAAAGGACACAGACTCCAGAGGTGATTAAAAAGTTCTATTTATTTTGGTTACACAACTATATGTGTATACACACACACACATATACATGTATATGTCAAAACTCATTGAGCAGTACACAAACAAAGGGTCAATTTTACTGGATATAAATTATATCTCAGTAAACCTGAAATTTAAAAGAGGCAAAAAGGGCATCGAGCTCTAATTAGAATCACAATTACTACTGCAGAGTACATGAAGTAATTATGTTTAAATATATTACTCTTGATTACATATGCATACATTTCTGCTTGTATGGAAACATTTAGAGAGAGAAATTTTTAAATCTTATGATAAAGCTTTACAATGCAATATCAACATGTATTTTGTGTTTGCTTTTTTATTAACACTACAAAACAATGGCTTTATTTTGGCAATGAAGTCTACAGAAGAGCAAAATATGAATTGACTTCTATTTTATTTTTTGCCTGGTTTGAGCTGTATAGAAGTAACAAAATTTATTCTGCTTGTAATCTTATAATCTGTAAAAATGTTATTTCTAATTCTCATGTTATGATTTTATTACAAACTCAAAATATTGCCTTATGATCCTATATTTTAAATACTACATGAAAATATTTTAATTAATGATATAATCATGCCTGTCTGCACTAGTCTGCAATCATTAACATTTAAGATTCTGGCCTAATTCAGTCATGCCTTTCAACCTTAGCTTTTAAATTGCTTATTGATTTGCCTATTTATTACAGTCAAATATACATTTGTAAACATTTTCTTCTGAAATTGAAATGAATATATATTTTTTTCTTTTAAAGGTGAAATTGTATGAAATTTTGAATTAATAGAAAAGTTTACAGATTTTTCAATAGTATTTTCCCTCTGCAGTTTATAGAAACTGTTTCTTATCTGAATAAAACAACCTCCTACAATCCAGCTATCCTGTAGGATAATGTTTGATAGATACAACAATGTTAAAAGAAGACTAATTATGGTATTGATTATTTCCTTGTAGCAGTCCCCTGGTGTTACCAATTGCCAAGCAAGATAGTTTGTTGGAAAAAGACATTATGTTCAAAGATGCAACAAAAGGTCTGTGTAAGCAGCAATCTCAGGACAACCCCCCTGAAAACACCACGATGAACGGCTTCAACAAACCTGAGCAGGTAATTAAATCTTGCTGCACATACACTAGTATTCTTTCATATAAATTCATGTTTTAAAATCCAACATACTTCAAAAACAAGTACCTATTGATGTTTATTCAAGGAAAATTAATGAAAGCATAGGTTAATATTTTGTTTATAATTTTCATAAATAATTAGGACATTATACTGATCATTAGCAAACATAATTGCTTTTGTGTTTTATGACAAATGTTACAGTCTTGACGTTTATACCAGGAATGTAAGGTGCATACGTTACCTCTTGAATATTTCAGTTAAATCATTGGTCATTATTTCATTATTAGTCTGTGGGTTTTTTTGTTTGTTTTCTTCAACTATCCAAATACTTCACATAACTAGAAAGAGGAGAAAACCAATCACTGAGTCATTTATTTATTCTTCAAAGCAACTATGGTGGTGCATTGTGTGTGTGTGTGCGTTTGTGAGTTTGTGTGTATGTGTGTATGTGTTTGTGAGTTCATGTGTGTTTGTGTGTGCCCCAGAGGCTTAGTTATATAAGAACACTTTGTAACTGAGAGAGTATTGAGCTTGGGATTGTAGAAATTAATATATTTTCTTTTACCATTGCCACAGAGAAAAATGGTTTTTATATGTTTAGTGTTCTGTAAATGGCAGAGTAATTTGCATCCTTGAAAATATTGTGTTTCAATGTATCTAATTTTGAGTATGTTGCTTTAGCGAGGTTTATTAAAGAACTTCTTTCAAAATTAAGTTTGAATTTCATTAAATTTTGCTATTTAAAGTAACTAAAACAGATAGCAAAACATTTTAAATATATTTTGTGGGTGTATTTGTCTGCTCAGGCTGCCATAACAACATACCATAGATTTGGTGACTTAAACAGTAGAAATGTATTTCTCATAGTTATGGAGTCTGGGAAGTCCAAGGTCAAAGTGCTGGCTAATTTGGTTTCTGATGATTGCTCTCACCCTGGCATGTAGGAATCTGTCTGACTGTGGTGTCCTCTCATGATGGAGAGAGAGAGGGTGCGTGCTGTAGGTCTCTTCTTTAATTTTTAGTTAAATAATTTTTCTTTTGCTCTTAATTAACACATAATAATCTGTACATATTTATGGGATAAAGTGTGATATTTAAATACATGTGTACATTGTGCAAATATAGAATCAGGATATTTAGCATATTCATCACCTCATACAGTTATCATTTCTTTGTGGTGAGAACATTCAAAATCTTATCTTCTGGCTATTTTGAAATATACAACACAATATAGTTAACCTTAGTTACCCTACTGTGCAATAGAACACCTGGAATTATTCCTCCTGTCTACCTGGAACTTTGTACCTGTTGACAACCTCTCCCAATCCCCGCTCTCTCCTCCCCTCCCCAGACTCTGGTAACCACTATTCTACTCTCTGTTTCTATGTGATCAACTCCTTTAGATTCCACGTATGAGTGAGATCATGTGGTATTTTTTTTCTGTGCCTGGCTTATTTCACTTAAAAGAATGTCCTACAGGTTCATCCACGTTGCTGTGAAAGACAGGACTTCATGACTTCATTCTTTTTTATGGAGTCTCTTCTTATAAGGACACTAATCTGTTGGATCAGGGCCCCGCCCTATGACCTCATTTAACCACAATGACATCCTATAGGCCCTGACTCTAAATATGGTCACATTGGGGATTAGGGCTTGCACATGAATTTTGGGGGACAAAATTTAATCATAGCTACAGGTAAATTAAGTATTAGGTTAAATTTAAGAAACAATTTTTCTTAACTTTCTTGAGTGTCCTATTAACTTCCCTTAACATTCCAAGTGTTTTTGATCCATATAATTTGTGTAAATTAGCATCTGATATAACTCAACTTCCAGTTACTATTTAAGAATGTCCTGTAATTAGTGTCCTTGCCTGGAAGAAAAATGACTTGAACTAACCATTCTACCACACCCTCTTCTCCTTCATAAATTTTTACACATATGCCCATAGAATTTAATTAGAAAACTTTATTTTTGTTTCTATTACAGATTTTTAAGACTCAAATTAGTTTGTAGTGAGTGTTGAGGGAAAAAAATCTGACTTATTTAACAACAGTTGGAACTCATAGGTGAGCTCACTTCCTAATTGCTCCCACAAGCAACGTTTTGAATAAGAGCTTATCAAGGTGTGCTTTCTCTTATTATAAAGATATAAACCTACTACTCTACCTTTAGCTTTGCCAAATAATATTGCATATATGTTTTCATTTTGTGGGGAGACGGATTTAGTTTTTTCAAAAACATGTTTCTTGATTAAAATATTACATCATATGATTCTATCATAACAGGTCAAAGGAATTGAGGATTCTTGACTATCAAACACTTATTTTAACACTATTTCCATCATGAAATAATTTACAATAAAATTAAGAGTGGGTATATGATTTTATTAATTGATTGCTTAGAAAAAGATAACTTCACTGTTTTACTTTTTGGTTTTTCTGACATTTATTCCTTAATTGATTTATTGAAATGTGTGAAAACTCTATGGTAATTTGACTTCCTCCTGTTCAAATTCTCTAACATTCAAAAAAGTTTTGAATGCAATTACAGATGTTGCATGACTTGTAGTCCACATTTACGTGTGCATTTATTGTATGTTTCTATTAATTTGCTTTTAAGTTGTTAATTACATGTTTGACAGTAGTGCAATGATAATTATTTGTTTAATTAAAGAAGAGCAAACTAGGTCAACTCTTTCAACAAGGTGCTGAAATTGTTCCCTCTGTGGAGTCAAAACAATTTCTGATTAATAAATTGATTGCTTTTAAATGGTAATTTATTAAAATGTTTCTAAAAGTCAAACAATTGTCTTCAAAGGTGAGAGGACATTCACAAGAAAAGAATGTCAAGTGTAATCCTCGTAGAATGACTTCTCTGTGTTTAGTGTAGGTTTTTTATAATTGTATCCTAGATGTTAAACGTAATTGTAATCATGTTCTATTTTTTTGTTATTAAAGAGGGAGCAGCTGCTATTCAGGTTTTATGTCCCTACATCCTATCATTTATATAATACTCGTCACTAGCATCTCGCACCGTATGCACCAGGCTCCTGTACATCTTGGCCTGCGATGCAGGACGGTTCTCTCCAGGGAAGAGCAGCACCATTTGCGGACTGGATTAGACATTCACATTTCACAGGAGTGCTGTAGAAAAGACTCATCAAAGCAATGAAGTTCTGATTAACATTTTAAAGAGACATACAAAATGTAGAAAAATTTTAAAAATTAAAATAAAAACCACTTAGCATGTCTCCTTCCAGATTTTTATAAAATGTAGGTCTTATCAAATGGTAATTTGTAAATGAATATTCAAGGCTTGATTCAGCCTTTATTTTTATTTCTAAGAAACACCAAAATTAACATTTGCTTTTATATCTATGAAAACATGACATTTTTTTAAGTTGCTTAAAAATGTGCAAGACATTTTCCCTTTCCTTCCTTTTTTGTCCTATTTCACCTCCCATTCCTTCCCTGCCCTGCCTTCCTTTTCCATTCTCTTCTTGGTTTTCCAACTTAACTTCTTCCCTGTCTTTCTCCTCTTTTCTTCTTTCCTTTGGCAAAATACTTGTTTAAACTTAGGTTAAGCTTGAAATTCAGGTCAAGTCTCCATTCCCTTTAATGAGGGCATGGTAACCTGGGAGCAGAGAGGAGCAGGAGGAGGCATACAGAGTTGTTCTGCTTCAGGTCTGCTGCTCAGGAGCTCTGTGACTCTGGAAGTTACTTGCCCTCACTGAGGCTCATCTGGAAAATGGGTACATAGTACTGACCCCATATGTGTGTTATGAAGATGACAGTAGATGAGAAATAGAAGATATGGCACAAGCACCAAAAACAGAATACGCACTCAATAAGGTGTATATATTATTTTTATTGTTATTATTTGTATAGACTGACTGTATATTAGGTTTTGTCAGAGCAGTAGAGTCTTCATTCACTATGTTGATTTGCCCTTAATTCGTGTAATTCCAGCCAACACATCCAGTAGGCTTTATTTTTTTAATGTAAATGTAGATTATTTTAGAAAACAATAATACAAAATAGTACTTTATATTGGCTGACATTTCAGAGCTTAAAAATGCTCTCACCTACATTATCTTAATCCTCAAAATATTACGGTGACCAAGTGATTATCCACTTTCCATACTTAACCTAAACTCAAGTTTCAAACTGAGTTTTAAACTCACCAAACTTGAACTCAGGAAAGTTGACCAAAGAGCCTAGAACCACAAGTGTTTCTTTTATTCCACATCTAGTGCCCTTTTGGGGGCACTGCAGCAGGTTTCCAAGACTGGCAAGAATTCCCTTCCTGTAGTGCACAGCAACACCAGCATGCGTGTACACAAACAAACAGAGGAACGGCAGGTGGAAGGGCTGGTAGATTGCACCACGTCTAACAGAATAACAAAGGGGGGCAAAGCACCTGCACGGATGTAGGCGTGGTGACGGCATCAGTTTGGGGAACCCTAGTGAAGTCTTTCATCACGTTTTCACCCTGTCTTGTTCTGACCATTCCGGTCACCTTGTCTATTTTCTGATTCCCATTTCCTTTTCATTTATAGGGGATTCTACCCCCCACCTGCCTTTCCCCAAGATCCTGTTGCTCTTACCCCATGTGTCAGACCATCTCTGCTGCCCACTGAGCTCTAGTCCCTGAACACATACTATTAATCTCTCCCCACCAAAAATCACAAACGAACAAATGCAACAGTAAGGCTGACAGCACTCAAAGCAGCAGTGAAACCATGGAGATGAGGGATCAGCAAATTCAGAATACTTCCACAACTCACATTTGCTTTGGACCTTGAAACATTGCTCAAAGTGTTTCTCCTAAGTTCTTTCCAGCCTTCCATCCTGAATTATGTCTATTTAGTGTTTTATATCCCTCCCTCCTTTTGGAAATATTCATAATAAAAACCATAATGGCCAATCCTGGAGGAGATACAAATATTTTTTCACATACTTATCTGATACCTGTTTGGA